CCATGCATAATTTGAAACACAGGAAAATTAAACTCAACTGTCCCAAGTAACCTGAATGATAACTTGGAATTTTACACTTTATAGGATTAAAAATTATTATTTAAGAGATATTTAGTAATATGGAAATTTTATAATGTGATAAGTACTTTAAATGTAGAAAATTTTATTAATAATATCATATAAATTTTCTTTAGAAATACAGGCATATAAATTCATAGCCAAAGTAGGAAGGGCTTTGCCTCCTAGAGGCTATTTACATGCACTTTCATTTTCATGTTTACACAGTGCCTACAATAAACATAATTTCAGAACTGGGTAAGGATAGATGAGTGTCTTGGTATACAAAGGAAAAGCTGAATAGATGATTTGTAATAAGTAATTTTCTTGACACCAATGAATGACTCTAGTGTGTGAAAGATGAAGGTGCAGAGGGAAAAAAATTACTTGAGTGAGGGGCATACTGTTTACCTTTTGAGATGCCAGAGAGCCGTGGGATGTATTACTGAGTAGGAAGAAAACACTCCAAAGAATAAATAAATCAAGGTGCTACATAGTGCAGGGAGACAGTCCATTTGTTCAGATGCCAGTGCCACAACTTTAAAGCACACTTGAAAAGGCACTTATATCGAATCTAGATAGAGACTTTTCTTTAGAGAATCAAACAAATCAATTAGAGAAGAAGCAATTTATTTTAAATATCAAAGCACCAAAGCAAAAATGCTGTATTGTCAGAGAGAGAAAGTGAAGTGAGGATCAAGAAACAAAAAAGGGGAAATGTATGTTTTTGAGACCAAGAATAAAAGCAATCAAGGGGAGAGACAACTGGACAGATAAATACGACATCAGCTCACAATATTTAATTGAATTGAAACAGCCAACAATAGCCAAGTGCCCTTGCACACGTCAGCAAGTATGCTAGACTGCAAACATGGCACCCAGTTCAATTAAATTCAACAAGTAAGTTGTAAATGTCTGCCATGTGGAAACATAGAACTGATCTGGCCTAGATGAATGGGTTTTATATCAATGGAACATTTCAAAGTGTAACTAAATTTCATATTTTTTAATCCACTGATATTTAAAAATCAACAAAGGCATTCATAAATCATGAGAGTCCCACTTTTAAGAAGATCAAAGTGTGAATCATTTAACGAGTTATTCACTTGGGAGAAGCATCTAAGGTGGTTTGTTTAGGAGAAAGGTCGTTAATTTACCACGGAATTATTTTTTTTCAAAGTACCATGTGGGTTGTCAAAGGATCATGTTACAAAATGACTAAGTTAATATTGTTAGTATCAGACCAAAAGGGAAAATAGAAAATAGCAGTGAAAGGAGGAACACACGCAGGGACACAGGAAACACACTGGAGAGATGTTCTTGGTATGTGGTCTAGCAACCGCAAACAAAGTTAGTCAACAAATACTAAAAACCTATGAATGAGATTTCTTTACCAAATGCATAGCCATGTGAGGCCAGGGTACAATGTATTGTAGAGTGTGTGTGTGTGTGTCTGTGTCTGTGTATGAACATGTGTGTACACATGGACATGTGGGTATGCGTGTTTTAGCACAGAGCCCAACCTGAGTGTGCTCAATCACGTCCACCCTTTAGTTTCTGAGATCCAGTGGCTCACTGATCCAGGACCTCACTCACAGAGTGGACTGTCTTTTCTGTCAGCGCAAGGGATCCTACTGTAGCTACCAATACAGAGCTGGGATTACAGATAGAATCACTGTTCTTACATGAGAATGGTGTAAAGATGGCAGCAGCAGAAAAACAAGTCAAAATTATCCAAAGCCAAAGTAGTTTCAAGAAAATAAGATAAGATATATAAAGATGAGGGGAAGAGAAGACATAAAAATATAAAATGCAAGGAGGTCAAAGAATTTGTGGCTTTTTTTGTTTTGTTTTTGCAATGTTTTATTGCTTCTTGAGAATTTTGTATAATGTATTTTGGTCACACTTGCTCCCCCTCCCCCACCGAAAAACTCTCAGGCCCACTCTCCCTTTTCTACCCACACAACTCTGTGTCCTCTCTTTTGTTTTAAAAAACTTTAGACTGTTCAAGTTCAATTTGTGTTGTCTGTATACTTTTAGACGTGTGATGTCCCCTGGAGCCTGGGGAAATCACCAGGGGCCACACACTGAGGGACAACGGGGCTCCTGCTCTCCCAACACCTATGCTTTTTAAATACATAAATAATTAAAATATCAAAACAAAACTAGAAAAAATAAATGATCTCCTCTGAACAGGAAGTTGGATCAAATCCAAATATCACAAATAACACACTGTCTCCAGAGAAACATGATTATTTAGATGGGGCGGGAGACTTTTTAGGTCCTTTATAACAGCACAGGCACATTAAGGAAGTTCCTGTTTGTGCCACTAGCAGCAAAGCTAAGAACACAAATCTACTTAAAACGTATGGGATTTGACTGAGGAAAATGGGCAACAGCAGCTGTGTTTGTCAGTTTAAACTCTGCCTTGCTGAAAGTTGGCAAAAGATAAAGTTCCTACAGCAGAAAAAAAATATGCAATGCAGGAAAACGTACTGCCTATTGCAAAAGATTTACTATGGGCCGACTTTGTCATTAAAGGACATGCCCAAAGACTTCATCCTATAAATTAAGAACATGATGTACATTGAGAATTGTAATAGTGAACAATTTTAAGAAATCAGAGCAAGGAGGAAGCAAGGGATAAATGGAGAGGATAGGTTTTCATTGTCATGGAAAGTCCAGTCGCGAAATATGTAATACTAGGCAGGGGAACGAACTGCAGTCCAAGAAAAGTCTACAGGAGACTCAGTTGAGCATTATACTGTGGCCTCTACAGAAACTGGGAATGACGTGATGAAGACACAAAAGTACAGAAAGTTAAATTAAAAAAATATATATTTTATTTTAATATATGCATGTATGGGGGGATGTGCATGTGAGTGTTGGGGTCTCCATCTGACATGTGTACTGAGAGATAAGCTGGGGTCTTGCACAAGTGTAGTATAAAATGTTAAACACCTAGGCATTCTCTAGCCCTGTTAGTGATATTATATATAAATATATTAATTTAAAATAATGAAAATAAGGTGCTGATAGGCTAAGGATTTGGGGCATGGATATTCTCTGGAATATTTAAAATCCAGAACCATCCAAACTGATGTTCAGTCATGAAGAATCTGCTATGATTATACCTATTACCTCCAGAAGTTTGCACCCTACTTCTGTAAAGTCAGCAAGGGAAGACTCTGCTCCCCATTTTAGAGACAGGGTAACTGAGGCACATGTCAATTAGTAACTTGATCAGCCATGAGCTAGCAAGGGGGTGAAACCGGGACTGAATACAAAACATCACAATATTTACAGTGTAAGCTTGGCACTGTGTTACTCCGCTTAGCAGTTACTTGATCACCAAGAAAGGGTGTTTCTGAATCAGAACAAAATGATGAGTTGATAGAAATAAAACAATGAAGCTGTAGTGAGATGGAGAGATAGCACTATGGGACAAAGCCCCTGCCACGCTGCATGGGTGACCCATTGCTTCTGTGACGTGAGAGGCACGAGACAGGGATGTGTAGCTCCCAGGCTAGCCAGCCTGAAGTGTCCCATGGCAAAGACAAGGAGATCATGCAGAAATCTACACCCACAGCTCTTTTCTCCTCTTCATTCACAAGCACTCAATCAGGAACCGATGTCTGTTTCCTCCCACAAGATGTGAAACAGAGAGGAGAGAGCAGCAGGATTCTAATACGCTAACCCTAAGAGTAACTTCTAAACGTCACAGTAATGTTGTTGTTGTTGTTACAGTAAGGAAAACCAAAGACCACGAAGTAGGCAGTGAGGTGGCCCGAGGGAGCAAAGGGGCCAGCACAAACTGTGGACACGAGTGCAGTCCCAGGGCTCCACAGTTAAAAGGAAAGGAGGAGCTCCTGGAAGGTGTCCTCTGTTCTGCACCCATACACACAACACAAAAGCACACCTATGCACATAAATAAATATAAAATGCAGTCGTTTTCTACACCTAAGGATAAAATCATTCCATTAGTGTATGATTTTTAAAAGATATTGTTCTGACAATACATATTCTAACATATTAATATGTTGGGGTAAAATATACAATGTTATATATCAAACGATGCTGTACATACTAAGAATGGCTTTGAAAATTGCTGTACAATGCATGTCTTCTCTAAGACATGAGAATATTTTAGTAATTAAATACCAATTTCAAATTGTTTATTTTCTTTAATAAATAAATTGTATTTCTTTAATAAAAAATCTGTAGAGGTATTTGATATTGTATCATTTAAAATATTTTCACAGTTTCAGTAGATGTATGACGTGGGATTCCTCTCTGTATGCTGTGACTACCATTTCTTAATAGAGAAACTGTCGTGCGTTTGTGCAGGGAATAGCCGTAGGCACGGAAATCTAAACTGAATGCTGGGAGAAAGAAGATGGAGTCAAGGAGAAACCATGTAGCCCCACCAGAGACAGATGCCAGAACTTTAGCCTGTAAGCCACAGTCACATGGTGATACACAGATTAATAGAGATGGGTTAAATTAACATGTAAGAGTTAGCCAATTAGAAGCTAGAGCTAATGGCCAAGCAGTGTTTTAAATAATACAGTTTCTGTGTGATAATTTGGGGAGTCGGAGCTACTGGGTGGCCAGGAAACAAGCGGCCTCCCCACAACAGATGTATTAATCAAATTAATATAAATACATACTTGAGGATGTTTCTAGAAAGAACTTAAAGGATGAGGAATGAAAGAAACTTGTGGAAACAGATTTTGTTCTACTTATTAAGAGACACTGCAGCGCAGGAGGAGGGAGGAACTGACTCTAGAAACCGAGAAGATGGCCACGGTGTATATTCACGGGAACGAATAATAAGTAAGTTAGCCAGGCTCTAAATTCAAATTATAAAATAGCTAAAGGTTATTTTACTCGATATACTCTGAAAAGTTTTTATAAGATAAAAGAAGGGTAACCTTTAGTAACTTTATTTTAGACTGTCTCCTGATAGCTATCTTCCTGAAATTCCTCCTGAGCTTTATAACTAATGCTTATTATGAGTCTATTCGGGGTGGGGGAGGGATCCTCCTGTGAGGAAGGAAGGATTCAATGACTTGTCCCATGCCTATTTGTCCTCAGCAACACTTTGCCTTCCTCATCCTAAAAGGACCAACACCGTGCTCAGGCACTAGCAGTTAAGGACTAAGAGCCCACAAATCTAGATTTGCGAAAAGTACTTCAAAATAAACTGTTCACTCATTACAGCCGGGAATAATATTCCCCAAATGGAAATCTTCTCTTTTAATGACAAAGTTCAAAAAAAAATCTACCTAAAAACTGTCTGGTGTTAGAGCTAGACCTTCGTGAGATGATGAAGTCCACAGACAACAACCGTAGTTAAGAATTCATAGTTCATCATAGAAAGGAAGGATTTTTTTTTCTTGTCTTAATCTGAAAATTTATAAACTCTTGACTGTGGAGAAAATTTTGATTTCCTTTGGGAAAATCTGCGGCTACTTACAGTGAATTCAGAGAGCGCAGGCCCTGGAAGGCATCTGGGGCAAGCTCCGAGATCTGATTATTGCTCAGGTCTCTACACACAGAAAAAAGTTTAGGTTAAGTGACATGGGAGATGCTAGGCACATTGACTTCACGAGAAGAGAATTTACCTGTACACATTGTCTATGAAGACATGTACAACATTCAACAAAAATATTAGAAAATCCTAAAACTTAAAGGTGAATCACACACTGCCAAACAACTAGTATCCATTCACTTAAGTTATTAGTAAGGATGGCGTGTCTTAATTAGACAGTAGCATACCAAAGATGCCATGACCATTTTTGTGGCGACCAGTACACTAAATTACAGAGGACATTAAAAATTATAAGGTTTCACTACTACAATTAGAGTGCCATTATAGAACTGGGCCTCAGACTGTCATTAAGCTGTCAATCTCTTCAATATTCATGCTTAGTTCTTCCTACACAGCCTTGGCCTACACAATTTACAAAATGACATATCTTATACAACATTGTTAACTCACATTCTTCTGAGCTTTTTATATGGCGAGAAAGCTCCGGGAGGGACAGCCCTGATGGAGTTCTGTTCCAAACGTCTGCAAGGAAAGTAATAAAAATCGATATTTAGGAGGAAAAGTAAAAATCTAGACACGTTTAATTCAGACATAAGTTTCACATCAAGAAGGGACGTTACTGCTTTTCATGAGAGATCTTTTCTTCTTCTCCTCTAAACATCAGACTGACATTGAATGTGCTGCCCTTTAAAGTGAACCAAGATTGGAATAATAATGAGCAGAAAGTACCACCCAGGTACCACCGAGTCATGGGTTGGGCAGGAACCTTACACCGAGTAGGAAGCACTTGTAGATACAAATTTAGGAGTATATTAATAAACTATGAGCAAATTAAATATACAAAAGTCTTGTATTTAGATGTATCATATGTTCTAATGATAATTTTAAGTTCAAAAATGAAATTACTGCTCTCTATCAAATTTTATAGATACTTTACCCTTTAAAGAAAGCACACTGTCAGTTGAAGAAACTGATACACTCACAAAATTAATTTTGAAGCCATGTATCAGGCATAGTGTTAAATTATAAACCTAGAAATGATGGAGAAATCTTCAGTATGCAATGTAAATCAGCTAATGTGCTATGTGACCACTACGGTAAAAATTATCTCAAAAAAGTACAGTCAAACATAGGTGGAATATTTTTATGATATGATAAAGATCAGAGTAAAGTTCAACTCTCACACACCATCTACTCTAAGATTCTGTTATTGGAGAAAAATAAGAAATATATGCCCAGCCATTGAACACACAAAGGGGAAGGTTTCACCAAGTCACTTAGTAAATATTTTGTTCAACAAAATAACAATGTCACCCAACCTTGTTCTTTCCCATATCAGCACCTGCGAGTCATTTCACAGCCTTTCTTTTCAGTTCTGCTCTGGATCCTGGAGATCTGACGCCAGGGAACCACTGTGGTAGGATTTAGACACTGAGAGTTGTTGGTGAAGACTGAAGCATCCAGAGGGAAAAGTCCAGAGTGTATTTTTCCTTTGTTTAGGGAATAACCCCAGAAGCCACAGCGCGGTCATCATAATTTCAACTTCTGCTAGATGTGCCTCATACTTTATCATTTTAAATTGGCTTTTTATCATTTTATTTTAGCTTTTGTAGACTTGAACCTAAGTAGAACTTTTTTCTTCTGTATTACCTTCCTACAAGTTTCAGAAATTTGTCTATATTAAAGTCTTACATTAAACTACATGGAATAAATAATATTTTGCTATCTAGATTTAAAAATATATACACATATGTGTACTTAACACATGTGTAATAAGTGTATATATGTTCTTATATATAATAAGCATATACACGTTCATAAACTTATATGTGCATACATGTTTCTCTATAGGTACACACACACACATATATAGATAGGTATATGGAAAATGCATATAAATGCATTTTATTTTGTGCTTGAATATTGCATATTTTGTCCTTATCAGGTTGTTGGCTTTTGGGAGCAGATTTATCTCAGAAGACAGGAAACCATCACATTACTATATATGGATTCAAGACCAGGGGAGAAGGTTTAGTGCTGACTGAGTGCACACACACATACCCACAGTTTAGCATTTGAATTATTTGTCTAGGTCTTAGAAAACATATTTTTCACAGGCTCTAAATATAGCCAAGACAAAGTTATTTTGCTCTAATAGTCATTTGGCAATGATGCTTTAAAGATCTCACTCGTTCCAATTTTGATTCATTCTTAAACTACAAAAAATTCAAATAATCTGTCTATGCCAAGGAAACTTTACATATCAGTTAATCGCTGGATCATCGTAACATAATGATTATGAAAACTAGGAATGTTTTTGAGTTGTTTTAACACAATGAAAAATTTGTTCAGTTAACTTTTTATAATATTATGTGAGACTGTTGAAAATAATATAAAGGAATCAAGAACATCATTAAATGATTCACTCTTTATAGATATTTACAAATGGTGCTGCTTGGGGTTGTATAGTGATGAAAGGTATTCTGAACCCATAAATTTAAACAGACTAATTCTATTCTTTAAGGGGACTTGAGGTATTCCATGGAAAGCTTAATATTTATTTGTAGATTTAAAGTTTCTGTACCTAGCATACTTATAATTTCTAATTATTCCAGTGGTAACTAAGTATATTTTAATATTTGTGTTCAAACTTATTATTTCTTTTAAAAGTGTGCACTTGTCTGCATAAATATATGCACGTGGGCACACTCAGATGTTCATGCTTGTGCACATGGGGCCATAAGAGAGTGCTGGATCCCCCTGTGATGGAGTTATGGGCATTTGTAGGACACGCCACTAGCTAAATGCATTCTATGATTTGATCTCACATATTCATCATTATACAGCAAGTATTCTTAACTGCTCTGCCCCCTCTATTGCCTACCAGTGCCTGTTGTTATGGTAAGTTATATTTAGTCTATATTCAATTCCATTGAAAATATTCATATTTAAATCAATCACAAGTATGAATAATAAATCTTTTTAGAAATGGACTAATGAATACTATCATAGCTATAAAACAGTGAATACAGGGTGAAAGTTTATTGGATAATTATAATTATAAAATTATATTAGATAATTAGATAAATTGCAAGGCCTCACATGTAACTAATGACAGTATCTGTATTGTTCATTATTGTGATGTACCATGATTTAAATTTCACATTGAAAACTGCTTCATCTACAACTTAGACAACAGAACACTGAAGAATGGCATGCTAGATGGACCTGCTGGCTTTTCTTATTTGCTTATTTTTAACGTAGCTAAAACGGGTCTTTGAAAAAGCTTGTGCTTCTATTTACACTTAGCAGCTAATTGTTTTGTTGTTGTTGTTTTATTACACTGTCTCAGCAGTCCATTTAGGACCAACATGATTGCATTCCTCCATCAAAAGAAAAAAATGATTCTCACTGGAGAAGACATACTACCAGAAGAGACACCAAATATACTTTATAATGTCTCGTTTTCACTTAATTCATACTTAATGGACAACGAACAATTATGTAATTCCGTTAAGCTTTTAGCTTTGTTGAAGAAAATGATTTATTTTACTAGACAAGAACCTTAGAATGAATTTGACAAACTAAACAACGTTCACCTCTAATGGTGATCCCAAGAGGGGGAGAAGAAAGCATTTGACCAGACGATGTGAATAAGAAAGAAAACCTCAGCATTTTCAGGTTAAGAAAACGGCAGGCTATATTTACATTTCTTAACTCTGTTAGCTTCTGATCTCTGCTTATTAGCATAGAATCTGCTGAGTTTCAAAGAGTGCACATTTGAGTCCATTGTTCCATGAAGAATCTAATTAGAAACATTTCAAGATTATGGAAACAGATATGGTAATGGGTACGACATATTTGCATGATTAGGACAATACATATCATAATTAAGAGCTATCCAAATGTCAATCCTTCAGAGATTATGCTGTGTCTCCTTTAGAAAATAAAAACAAATTAAACAAAGTGAACAGGGTAGAAATTCTATGGCCTGCATACCACAAGGTTGATGCATTTCATGTAAAGCTGCCAGGACCAATTTATTCAATAGGATCTATGTGGCCGAACCCACAACATTTTATAATCATATTATATATAAATAGACAGATATCCAGGTGTAAATGTTTATTTCATATACCCATACACTACACTATATCATTCTACATAATATATGTAATGAAAGATATGGCTATTGCCACTTTTTTAAAATTAGAAGTGTATTTTAGTGCTCTGCTCAGTGAGATGAAGTATTTAATTGTATTGAGTGGGGATGAGTCCCAAATCCTCACAAGATTTAGCCAATAACGACCTTTCTTGTATTTTTTTCTTTCGATTAATGCCTTGAATCTCTGCTGGTTTGTGCTTCCTAACAGCAACTGATCACAGGAACTTCAGGGTCTGTTTCAAAAATTAGACAAACAGGAAGACCGTGCTGGGAAACTGGAGACCCCAGAGCATGGGAACTGTATAGGTTTAGCTGCGAGCTCAGAAGGTACCACAGTGCCACTGCTGATATGCACCTCTGCGACCTAAAATACACGGCAGCGGTTACAATGGCATAGCTGTTAGACACACAAGTTTTATTAAACCCACCATGATACAGTGTTTAAGAAATTGCCAAATGAGCTATGCATATATTTATGAGATATTAGACAAATTAGTCTAGTTTAACATTCACGTCTCATCCCTCTCTCTCAAGGGTTTTCCGAGTAGAATTATTTTTAAAATAACACAAAATAACACCCACATAAGAAATATTAAAAAGTCATATATATATGTATATATATTCAAGACTGAAAATATTCACCCTTTGTGGATAAAGTATGAACTTTGTACCGATACAGCTATATGGGTTCTTCATTCTTTGTGTTTCTTCTTTTTGCAAAATAATGAAAATCATCTACTTGGTAAGAAGTGCAGTTTAAATAAAATATATTGTATTTCCTTGCACTAAGGTAGGTGAATAAAGATTTGACATTTACACATATATATTATTCAATAAAATATCTGAAAATCATGGTCATCAACACACATTATTTAAAACAATATATCTGCAACCTGATATGATCTCTAGTGTGAAATTAATATATGGTGAAATAATATTTAAGAGTGAAATCATAATATAGTTCTTTCAGCTAGTTCCAATATTATAATAAACACATGTATATAATTCACATCAAAACTGAAAAAAACCTGATGATAAGATCTGTAATCATACTTATTAATGTTTAGCTTTTTCTTTACTGCCTTAGAAACTACAAATGATTTTTACAATACTAAGTAAGATAAGAATTTCGATTGACTACGCCTGTAACATACAGCCCAGATGCTGATTATACATGGCCATAAAACTGACATGTTTTTGCATTTTCTCCATCTGCTGTTAACATAAATGGCAAAAACAGCTGTCAGAGAATGGAACATGGGTTTAATGGATGAAGGGAGGGAAGGTGCAATGACTCTATCTTTTGAAAGTTAAATTGAGCGATGCAGCCAAGATAGTCTGGACATAGTAAACACCA